CCAAGTAGTTTGGTGTCGCTTCTGTGATGACCTGTCTCTTTGTAGGCTTGAGGTTGAGATCATAGCTACCACAGAGCTCTTGGAGTTGACGTTCAACGTCAACATCCTCCTTATGAGAGAATATCACCAGATCATCCATGTAGGATTGATCTCGCAAATGGCATTTGGTCTGAAGTTGTGCTGTACCAGCCACTGTAGGCACAATTCCAAAATCCGCGGACAATGCGATGGCCCGTAGGGTAGACACCAGAATTCATACCAAGTGGGAGATGCTTCAAAGGGAGTGATGTTCACCGTAAAGTAGCGTCGGTTACTCGGGAGTAACCATATCCTCATATACGCATCCATCACATCGTTGATGATAGCATACTTATAGCACCGGGTCTTCTCTACCAATGTAGATATTAGGGCTTGCGGAAATCCACTTTTCCCGAATGCTTTTCTCAAGCACTGGTTCAAATGTATAAAACTGAAGACCGGACGATAGCGCCTCGTATCACCGCCAACCACATACCAGCTGGTCGTCGACGACCTAGGACTCAGCCTGGTTGGGTTTAGGCGCCCCTCAGTTATCCATTGGCGGAAGATAACCGACGCAGCCTGCTTTGCCTCTAACCAGGCTTCACGGAGCTTCTTGTGAGGCCTTTGCGCTCTCAGCTGCTCTGAGTGAAATGCCGGACTGATGATGAGGGGGTGTAAACCAACGTAAAACCTAGACTTTTGGTTAGCCTTGTTATCAGAGATAGCTGTCACGATGTACAAGTTGTTGGAGGAGTATACTATTTCCTGTAACCTCCAACCAGATGGTAGTTGTCGCCAATCTTCATCGTCATGATCTTCTTGACTGATAATGGCTGTCACGCCATGATGTCACGTCCTATTATCACGGGGTGAATCAGAGGTACTTCCGTAATGTAGAACTTAGCCACGAAAATAGCTCCAAGGACGGATAGATTAAGAGAGACCGACCCTAAGGTCTTCAACGAATGTCCTGCTCAGGGTGGTCGGTTTTGGGGATTTATCCAATAAATTCCTTCTCGGGATGAAAGGGATTAATTATTAAACCCCTTGTGGGGATTTATGGGATTCATAAAATATTTTTTTCGCTCGCCCTGACGGGCGAGCGCTCTTTTTCATGGCGAGTCCGACAGTCACAGAATTTACAATATCATCATCCTTCGGCGTATTCAATGGTATTGAGTCCCCCACTGGTCCCAGTGCCTGATCGTGGCGTGGGGGTCACTGGCCAAGGTTGGCCAGATCGAAACTGGGGCCGACTTGCCATCACTCATACATCCACTCTACGAGTGTGACCGAGGATGGCTCGATGACGGCGTTAGTCCCCACTTAGCTATATTACGTGCTATCGATCTTTCTAGTGTCAATTAAATATAAGTCATTCGAGCAACGTGGAGTAGTACTCTCGCTCGCCTCCATCTCCAACAACGCCATCGCCTGCACGAGGAATGCTCACCTTTGCCAGGAGAACCGGTACCAGAGTCTCCGGCCGCTCATCTACGCTACTCTTGGAATACGGATGCCCTACACACCTTCACCCGCAACGACCAGAGTCTGTTGTACCGCCCACGGCTTGGTGTGCTCCCATTTACCCGACCCTCTACGTGCCCAGCATGTCATAGAGCTCCGCACTCAATACAACACCTACTACTCTCATGCCCGGCCTTCTTGCAATATCATCCCCGTCATTTCCCGGTTAGCATCCCCCCTACGGATATCAACCATTACTTATTTCAACTGCTCTACACCGACAAGGAGTCTATGCAACAGGCATTGAGCATTGCTAAACTTTCTCGTTGCCTCATTTAGCTGTCTCAACCTCTATTCTACCGT